ACTGGACTTCAAACATTAAAAGGGCAAGAGCACAGGAGAGAGAAAAAATGTGCTGTCACAGAGAGCAACTTCACAGAGCTGCATGTGTATATGTCTGACACGGTGCCAACGGGGCTTCTTACATGTATGATGAAAGAATGTCTCAGGAGCAGCCAGTGGCCTCACATGAACCAGCATATAAATAATACACATATAATCTAGCAAAACCTGTGTGGAAACTGACTGAAGGAACAATAAAGAAGAAAAAAGCCAATGACTTTAAGTTTATAAGGTTACTATGAGTCAGACATTTAGCAAGTCTGAATATAGGGACAGATAAAAAGAGCTCTTTTGACACAGTAATGGATCAGACAGATAATTATAGACCGACAAGTACAGTTTCAATTAAACTTTCAAAACAGTCACTTACAAAACAGATATGTAATAAAGAGGCATAAAAAGAGACGCGTTCTCATGCTTTACAGCCTCGCTGTAGCCTTTTATGATCAGTAAAGCTGAGATAACGCTTTACAAAAACACAACAGTCAAGGTGAGAATAGATAAGCATGAATATAATCTGTTTTATGTCACTGAAATGGAAGTTGTTTTTATTTTTGGCAATGTTCCATAGATGGAGAAAGCGTAAGTGATGTCCCTTCATTTTCACTAAAATGAAATAAAATGTACACTTTGTCAAAAGCATTTTTTGCAATAGTGACACAAGAAGAGACCCAGAATGACTTGTGTCTCCCCAATTTCTTTGATTATAACTAAAGATGTCACAGTGGTACATGCAGTTATTAAAAAATGCATTATCAGTGATAAGAAAATGGGGGGGAAAAGATATTAATTAAATGTTCCACTTAAGACAAAATAGCTACAAAACAATTTGTTCCAACTGTGATTTAACCTCACAGACTCTCTGCTTGCAATGCAAGATTTGATTAAAGATTACACAACAGTGATTTCAAACTTCCCCACCCCGGGACGCTGCCAGGCCCAATTAGGTTGTTACCTTGAGGTCTCCTCCCTTTGCTCATCATCCCATTTTCTTTTTTTTCTTTTTTTTTTGAAAGAGAAACCAGTAAATCTAAATGTAGTTCCATTCTTTTATATCGTGCAGACCTCATGAATTAACAAATATATTGCGGTTTTATTATGCATGTGCTGAATGAGAATGAAAATACAGGAAAGCAAGTAAGTCTGTTTTCTCTGTGGGGCTTCAAGGTTTCTTTTTCTGTTGATTTACTTGCTGGAACATCATCTGTGCTGGGAAATCTTTCTACAGTGAGATCTTAAGCTGTGAAAGTAAAGGTCCTGTTACATTTAATAATAGAAAAGGCTGCTGCACGGTGGGACTGGCTGCCAGAGCACACTACTTGAGTGCACAGCTTCCCATGGCCACTGTAGTGACAGACAGAGAGGCACTCAGCTGAGAGCAAAGAAAAAGATTCAATGCAAGGTAGGTGTGAACATGGAAGTGAATGGAAAGAGTTGCAGGTGAGAAGATGTTGCATAGAAAGATAAAAGAAAAAAGGATGAAGAGATGGTGCTGCAAATGGAATGACTGGTGTAGCTAGAAAAATGCGTGATGGAGGCACTGAAGGATGAAGGGATGCAAGGACAGAGTGGGTGAAGCTGATCTGATCTGAAATCTGTGCACCCATTTAATTTTAAACATTGTTATACAGAGGCTTTTCTACCTGTTAAACCACATCTATTTATTAGCATGCGATAATTCTCCAAAATGGATTACTCCCATTGAAACTATATTGCATCACTCCAAACACATCTCAAGTAGAAGAGGTGAGCGCCAACAAAAATACAGAGAAAATTCCTCTGCTCAGATGCAGAATTATTCACTGAAGGCACAGAGCCATGAAATAGACTAAAACACCAGTCAGCCCCGCAGAAACACAGATCACATGAGGTATTCAGTGCAATGCAGCATTTATAGCTGCAGCATGTCACTTGTCTTTATGATGTATTTATGTGTTTCTGTCAGTAAACCAGGTGGTTTCAGTCTTTACTGGTCTTCCATGCAGTCCACAAAGTTTAGAGATCAAAGCCATTATCAATCCATCCCTTAAAGCTATGAATTGTCACTTATTCTTAGTTTAATTTTACACACTCTAAAGTAGGTCACATGCTGTGCTTCGTGAAGCGAAAGTGACACTATTGCAGTCTTCCAAAAAGGGTACACAAAGGAGTAAACCATCATGCCTTGTAGTCTAGCACTCACGATTCACAAATATGCCAAGCGCCAACACACACAGCAAAAAGTGTGTTCAATCCACACACACAAAACACCCAAAGAGACTGAACACTGAATTTAATATGCAGCCTCCAACAAGCAGTCAGCCAAATGAGGTGGTGATGTGCAAGAAGATGTAGTCCATTACTCATGCTGGAGGGTCAGACAACACACACTCAGGACTTCTCCGACAGGAAAAAAGAAGTTAAATGGATCAAGAGAAAATGTCATTTTCCATCAAATGCCTCAAAGATCTATAGACAGAAAAGGACAGAAAAGGTGCTTAAAAATGCATCGTAACTGAAGATACAGCAGCAACAACCCAGAAGAAAGTGATAATAACACATAAAATTCTCTCATACTAACAAAATCAAAGCCTGACTCCTGCTAGGACGGATGATCACATAAACGCTGAACCCCTGCTTGTGTATTCCACATTTTGTTATTACAATTTTACATTTTACTTATTCGTGTTGCACACAGTGTTTTGAGTCTCTTAAAATTAGTTTTATGCTGTAAATACAGAACATGTATTACTCACACAAACGTACAATGCAGATCCATGCTAAGTGTCGGCAGTTACACAGCTGATTCCAGAACGGGACAGCGTGACAAAACTTGAACAAGGACCGCTATACTAGCCCTGCCCGGCTGTTTGATATCGGCTATAAGTGTCCTGCACCTCGGCCACACGCTAACGACAGAAACGTGGGGAGTAGCATAACAGAGCACAGTACCTTTGCTGTTGTCTTCTGGCAGACGGCTGGAAGTGAATGAATGTGTGATGCGGACTACACTGAAGATGAATGGATGGTGCGCTGCCTAGCAACCAAACGACCAATGGGCTATTTGGTGCAAGAAAATTTGTAGTTGAAAATACACTCACGGCACACTTTACCTACAAGTACACCTTGTAGGCACTGCCTTAATTCACTCCTCAGAGATTTTGGTGCACACTGAATCTCTTCCAGAGTTTCACCACATGCCAAAGATGCTTTGTTGGATTGAGATCCGGTAATTTGAGCACATCGAACAACTTAACCCGATTTTAGTTGATTGAGTTTTGTGGCATAGTGTGTTTGTCCTGCTGGAAGCAGCCAACAAAGAATGGGTACACTTTGTCATCGTTAAAATCCCATCTAAACCCTTTCCACCTTCATGACACCAGCATACAGCATGCATCCTGCTCCTTGTCGGTCTGTTGGACACACCCCGAAGTCTATATAACTTCACCTCTTTCGCCTGGTAGACCTCTTACCTCGTTACCACAAGGCTGAGAAGAAAGAGCCTGTAAGTTAAGGAGACTGCTGAACCTTTTAAGTGATTACCGTGCAATGTAAAGAGATAGTTTCTCACTTGAATGCATGGTTGTGTTACACTGGATCACCGTACTGTTAATTAAAAAAAAACTGAATGCATTTGTGGCATAAATGTTCCTCATTTACTGAATCACTTCAGTAGCAGTGATAGCACTTCTTAGTTGTCATTTTCTGTTTCATTCTTGTTTGAATCAATAGAAAGAATCCATCTATTTGTTAAATCTACCAAATTATAATCTTTGGAACTGCCTTCTGTGTTTAAATGGGCACACTACATTGAATGTTTTCCGTGCCAGCACAACCAACTTCAATGTTTTTTCATTCATAAAGGGGTGGACATGCTCAGCAGCTGCACTCAGGTAGGCTGTGTAATTCAAATGACACCCAGGGCCCAAAAAATGTGCAAAAAAATAAAAATAATAATCCCCCACACCACTAGCACCAGCTTGAACTTTTACAAGGGAGGATTGAGCCAAGTTTCATGTTTGTGTTTTTTTTAATATACCAAATTCTGATCCTAGCATCTAAATATTCTATTTCTTCTATTGTCCAATTTTGGTGAGCAGCTATAGCCTATTTTCTTCAAGGCTGGATACTTTAAGTGTTCAGAAATGCTTCTCTGCATACTTTGAGTGGAGTAAGTTGTTATCTGAGTTACTGTTACCTTTCGTTCGACGCAGTTTAGGATTTCTTCTCTGACGTCTGACATCAAAAAGCCTTCCTCTGTCAGAGACCTGCCGCTCACTGGATATTTTCCTCTATCGTTCTCTGCAAACCCTGGACATGGTTGTGTGGGAAATTCCCAGTAACAGTTTCTAAAATAATCAAACTTTTCTTTTCTGGCACCAACAATCATTCAACAGTCACTTAAATCATTTTTCTTCCTTCTTCTGATGCTTGGTTTGAACTTCAGCGAGTCATCTCTTTTTAATAGCTATGCATTATTATTACAATATACAAATTGCACAAAAAGTTCAAAATCAGTAGTTCATTTTCCATGTCTACCTATTAAAAAAAGTAAATTGATGCAGTTGCAATAGAGTGGAATTTATGCGAGCATGATACATCAAAGGCGCAATGACGAGCTTAATAGAGAAAGAACTGTTACTTTCATATAGAGCCAACCACCACCGGGCAACCCAACACCTTAATAAAACAGTAAAGAGTGCTGAGCCTGCATCGGACACAGCAGGAGCATTTGTTGGATTATAGGAAAGTATCTGACAAAGTGAACGCAACAAGGAGCTTTTAAGTCCACACATGGTAAATGTGCTGTCAAAAGTGTTTTGTATGACAAAAGAGTGAAGAACAAGTCACATGACAGAGTGCTTTGTGTAGAGATAAATACAGGAGTGCTTTGAACTTCTGATTTGCCCCTTTGTGTCCGAAACAAAGCTCGAAACCCACTGGTAGAGAATACAAAGAGCTTAATAAAATAACACCATCAATAAAACTTGTAGTTCTTTATTTGTTTAAATTGTGCGGCGTAGCATTGTATTGAAAGACTTCCACAGTTAGCTACAGGAAGAAACCACAGTGTCTGTTGATCTTTTAACGCAAGGTATTTAAATGCTCTCTGGACATGAGCTACATACACGGCACCCTCCAGGGGATTTACGGGGAAAGTGCTCACTATTTTGAACAAAAGAACTGTGCCCTTTGGAGTGAGCTGTGCAGCCTCTCCTTAGATTAAAAGGAAACCCTGCTAGGTAAGACATCCTCAGGCTATCAAGTGTTTGCCAGGCTTTAAAAAACATAAAATCTTATCAGTCACTTATGAGATTCTGGCTCTCATCGGATGTGAGACATCTCCTCTAGGAAAGGGGTTTTCATGCAGCCTGTGCACAGCTGGTCCATCCACAGAGGAGCTTCATGCTGCAGAGGGGTGCGGCGGGGGTAGAAAGTGTACGAGAGGTCATAATTCAAAAGACAGCTCAGTGACGTCATGTAGAGGTCTGAGAAACGACACAGGCGTCTGGAGAAGTAGGTGGGGTTGTGACACGTTCTGAAGATGCTGCCAAACTGAGGGTTGAACAGGTTCTTTGTCATCACCCTAGCATGTAAAAAAAGTGTGGTAAAAGTTATGACATTGTACATGTATGAATATGTAGTCAAAGTTGTGAAATAACAAGAAGTGGTAGAAGCAAGGAGAAGTGAAAACTCCTCAAAAAAGTAACTGTAGCTCAAGCGCTGTCATATCAAATGTTATTATCATATCTGTTCACATTTAAGGTAGGTAGAACTAATATACTTGGATGCTTTAACTGAGATATATAGTACAGCAAAAACTGAAATTTTCCATTTGAGCCAGTGTTTGTACTGTGCAGACTTGTTAAACAACATCACTGGGAACACTGGGAGGTGCTTTTAAAGATTAAGACCGGGCTTAAGATGATAAGACTCACCTGAGTTCCTCTCTTTCCTTCTGCCATTCCAGAAAAACTTGTTTAGACACGGGATCTCTGTGTGTCTAGGACATTAAAGAACAATATGAATAAATTTAGCTCTTCAAAAACATAAATATGGAGAAGAAACAATAAATTTTGTCCCTTAGATAAGTTGAGTCTGAGTTCAACAGTAGGGACAAACAACAACTAAAGTTCAAAAGTTGTCTTAACTGCAGTTTTTTGCCTCGTTTAAGCTCTTACAAACACTCCAATAACACGTTGATAGGATTGTAAGCACGTGGACTCTCACGCAGGAATCTGAACAGTTTTTTTTTTTTTTCTTTTAACATTGTGTTCTGTCAACATGTTATCATTTCAGGTATGTGAGCGTTTGCCATGCGTGAGTGCAAGCAGAATATAATGTCCCAACAGCTCAAGGATTAACTCTCACCTGCAGGCGCTCCATCAAGCCAGTTAAAGCCTGCATCCAGGTGAGGTTCATTCCATACCGGTCTGTGCTCACCACTTTGGTTTCCTGCTCCAGTTCAGGTACGATGGCTGCTGTGCGCCAGCCATGTCTCAACATGAGGTCCTGCAACAAAAGACAAAAGCGTATTGAGAAAATATGCAGCAATTTATTCTTTTTTTTCTTCCCCTTAGAAAAACATTTGATATTTAGCGGGATGCTCAACAATTGTGAGCCAACACCAACATAATTAAAGGACTTTATAAATGAAACAACAACAGCGTTTTAAAGTGCCCTGAGCATGGCAGCGCCACCCACCCACTGGTAAAACCTGCTGTTTGTGAGAGGCTGCCTATCAAAAAGACAACTGGCCAAAAGAAAGAAGCTAAAATTGCTCATTTTAAATGGAAAAGGGAACAAGAGCCCCAGATATTATAAATATTATAAATATTATAAATAAGCATTGTTGTAAACTATGAACAGGCAGAATAAATGTGTGGAGGTGGAAATGAGCACAATAACTCTCTTTTAATCCCTTTGACTGTCTTCTGTTTGGAAGATCCAACAAATGTTGCCATGTTTTACTCTCTTATTTATTAGATACATGATTACAGACATATTCGCTGTTAATATCTTTATACAGTGTGCCTTTACTTTGCACAGTAACACAAAACAGTCCTCAATTTCTGACGAAAAATTGTGGCGCTCATACTGCCATCTAGTGTTTCAGATTTTCACTGCACAGTCTGCTCTGACCCCACCCAAATGCTCTCAGGACTTGCAATACGTGCAATACGTGGAGACAGATGGCATCTGGCACCGTGCGCATCTCTGCACATACTCTGTACTTGTGTATCTTTCAAATGATGTGAACCATCAAAGCAAAAAAAAAAAAAAAAATCTCACTTTGCTAAATCGCACACCAAGGACGTCAAATGAAGCCACACAGGAAAATTCCTGCTGATCCCTATACCACAAAAGGTTAGTCACCATGCAGAACACTGACTCAGCAATTCATCATGATGAGATCACCGTGCTCGGATACTCACAGCCAAGTCGCTATAAAGATGATCTCCAAAGTACAGAACTTTTGATCCTCGCCACCCTGTCAGTCTGAGGAAGTCAAATAGGTTTCCCTGAAACAATAAAATCAACCACATACTCATTAGACACTCAGAACACAACAAGTAAAAACATGCAGACTTTTCAACGTGTAAAAACCACAGCAGTTAAATAAATCAAATGCCACAAAGGCCAATGAACATTTTTTTCATTACAGACCTGTTTGTAAATCTGTCCTTTGTCCAAACTCTTGATTTTTTCCCACCGAAGGTCACCGTTACCATCCAAGCGCCTGAAAGGTCTGTAAGAGCAACAGTTTTGGAGATTGTTAAACAGGAGCACTGAAATGACTGCGCCTCATCTCATGAGAGGGATGCCGGCGCACATTCGCCACACTGAAAAACTACAAGGAGTTACTCACTTGATACAGTCGGTGAAGAAGTGAGGTTTGTCTGCCTGCACGATGACCACATCAAAAAAGTCTCTCCAGTTTTTCCCCACCATGTGCGTCATTCCTCTATCGCTGCACACAGACAAGAAGCATAAATGTAACAGAGCTCCGAGGTGTTTATCTTTGCATTAGGACAGAGTGCACTACTGCAGACGTGGACTCCATCAAGTCGCTCACACTTACACAAAGCTGAAGGGACTGTTGGTTATGAGGAAAAGTTTCTTTCCGTTGCTGGCCAATCGATGCAAAACAGCATCCGTCTCGTCCCCTCTGAGAATGAATTTATCTGTAAAGCGAAGAAAAACAAAAATTAATTGAACTGCTGGTGTTTTTGTAGCAGGGCGCAGACAAAACCGAAAGACGTGAAAGGATGTCTTACCGAGATCTTCCATAATCCATTTGTACATGTATCCTTTGAGGTGAACCATGCCGACTGCTTCCTGTGGATTAAACGCCAATGAATGTTTTTCACAATATGTTCAGAACATTTCTTTGATCCCTACTATGAGATAAGTTTGAATTACAGTCACTTGGGAAGAAAGACCCCAATTATTTGGAAATGATTAATGACCTGTCAGTTTGCTTATTTTCAGAGGAGAAATTATGATGAAGTAGTGGGCGTGCTGTATAATTGAAAACCTTCCACCCCAGAACCAAGAGGAAAAGCTGTTATTGTTCTTCGCTCTACCAGAGAGAGTCCATTGCGAACGTTTCCGGAGCTCAGCAAATTCCTGAGCGTGCAGCCGATGAAGCACGTAACACGGATATAGTCAAAAATCCAATCTCCCTATGCTCCCTTGGTATGAGCTACAGAGTGAGGCCAGACTTTGAAACGGACATTAAAACATATCATAACTCACAGAGACGTCTTTGAAGAGGTGAACGGGATCATACTCGATGTCGTTTGTGATGAAGAAGTCATTTGCTACAGCCAAGAGAGTCATCTCAGGAATGGAGAAGATATCCATGAACTGCTTCACCTTTGGTCCCTGTGGGGGGGGAAAAAAAAATGCAAGTTAATGTTTGATTCTCACAAGATGACATTTTAACTTTATTTTGTTTAAAACAAAGCTAACAAACATTTCATGTGCCTTTTAATGTGTTTTGAACAACTTAAAAACTAAATTAAGAGCAGTTTTCAATACGAGCACTACCCAATGATGCTAAATTTATCGTCCTGTGTTTGTGTCCATTTGCGCAAGAGTTTGGCAATGCAGCGGAGTCACACAGCTAGCAGCAAGAAGCCCACCAGCAATGACAATGCAGAGAGAACACTGATTGTTGAGAGGCTGGCTTACACAGGAAAGGGAAGAACAGCAGAGTCTCTCAAAAAGAGGAAGACACACACACAAAAAAAAAGTATGCATAAGAAGAACACAATGTCTGTACAGGACAATTTGCACTGTTTAATGCTCTGTTTCACTTCATTGCAGAGTTCTTCCTCATTATGACGTCTGTCCTAAGCTATTGTACGATTAACATAACAAATGAGTACAGCCCATGTTACTGGTTGTCCCACATTTTTGACACTGTCCCTAAGCGACAAACATCTACTCATTTCAGTCAATCTATAAATCTCATAAACGCACATTTTATTCACAGGAGAACGCAGAAAACATAGCCAAAAATTGCCATTAAAAGAAAGCAAAAGATTTAGTTCATTTTGAATTTGATGGCACCAAACGTCTCAAAAATGTCAAGACAGGGCTGTGTTTACTTCTGCGTAACATCTGGGAACTGACAAGACCAGTTGCTGGATTTTTGCTGTTTCATTCTTGTCTGATATAGATATAAATATAAATATCTGATATAAAGTCCTGGGTCTGTGGTGTTTTATTTTTCTTATGATGGTAAGTCAAATGTTTTCAGATGGTAAAAAGTCTGGACTGCAGGTAGGCCAGTTCAGCTCCCAGAGTCTTCTACTACAAAGCCATGCTGGTAAATTGCTGAATAATGCAAGAATTCAAAATTTTGATTCATCTGACCCCAGAACAGTTTGGCCTGGAAAGGACAGCAATGATTCTGGATCATGTTCACATATGGCTTCTTTTCTTTGCATGACAAAGCTTTAACCTGCATTTGTGGATGGTACAGTGAACTTTGTTAACCGACAATGATTTCTGGAAGTGTTCACGAGTCCATGCACTGATTTCCAATTATAGAATCATGCTTGTTTTTAATGCAGTGCCGCCTGAGGCTGATGCATCATGGGCATCCGATATTGATTTTTAGCCTCGTCCCTCACGCACAAAGACGTATCCATATTCTTTGAATCTTTGGTTGTCATGCACTGTAGATGAAATTGTTACCGACCTGTTGAAAGTTAACCTAATTAACTGCGAAACACTCCTCTAGCTGTTCCTCCTCTAGTTTTTCAGCTTTTTGAGATGTGGTGCTGCTATTAAATTCAAAAGGAGACAATTTTTATTTCTTAAAATGGTACATTTTATCAGTTTAAACACTGGATATCATTCTATATTGAAACAAATATGGGTTTAAAAGTCCTGTGTAGGACCAACTAACTTAGTAACAAGCTGGTACCTTAAGAGAGTCCAGCTGCACCAAATGAGATTAGAGACCTACTTTGGACAGGATTGTTACAGATGGAAAGAGGCACCGTTCCTGCTGCAGGAGACCACTTAAAAGGTTCAATCGGGCGAAAATGATTCGAGTCTGATTCAAAACATTCAGAGCCCAAATTGCTCCTAATGGGCAAACATGTCAGTTTAAAGCTTGGTGACTCCCAGACCCAGCAGAGCTTTCTAATTTCCCTGCCTTAACGAGTACAGAACTAAAAAAACAAAACAAAGTGCAGACACAGAGTTCTCATAATCAGCTCTTTTGGGACTGGAACATTGCCTTCCAACCGATTCATGACAACAAAGGAAGAAATGAGATTACAAAATTCACCATTTGGTTCTTATGTAATGCTAAAGCCGTACAAAACCCCAACATTTGGTAAATCTGTGTACAGCAACAGATTAAATCCCAAATTCCTTGTTTGAGGAGGTCCAAATAAAACTGTAATATTTTGCTGATCCGGCAGTACTTAGGCTTTCACGTCTGTGCCAAAACAAACCCATGTTCCACAGAGAGTAAATGTACAAAAACAAATCTGGAGGCAAAGTGCAAGAACTGTGGTAAATGTAAAACAGTTCTCCACTAAACTCTGATTTAAAGTTATTGGACTACTGAACTAATGTGATTAATAGGGAGTGTCTAGTTGGAGTGTTTTAACTTTAAAATCAATATATCTTCCTTAATCTCCTGAAACCCAAGCTGTTGTTTTGAGTGCTTTTTAAATTCTCCTAGGTATTTCGGATTAGTTTGACATGATAAGGATCAAAAATAAGCATCAACTTTGAACAGAAAGTCACCAAAAAAAAAAACCAAACATGTCCTGATTTGGCTTCATTTTACATTTTTTTAGGTTTCTTCTGCAAATTAAAATTAAAAAAAAAAAAGAAGAAGAAGAAATTTTTACCTTTCCATAGAAGCCACTGTCCTGCTGCAGGGGGACATGATAGGTCCCACCAAAGAGCTGAAGGACCTCCTCATCTGGCACTGGGCTCAGACCCCTGGGAACATCAAACACAAATGAATGTACTGGGGTCTAATAACACTATCCCGCAATTCACTTAAACCATCTTTCATTTCTTACCGGTACACTGTCCCCGGCTCAATGTAATGGAAGGCGTCTATCTTCATTAAAAGACCCTACAGAGGAGCAAAAATAACTGAGTTTCACTTCATGAGCTGCACAGAGAAAATGCACAATTGTGCTCCTGCAATGGTTAAAGTGTAGTTTAAAAGATTTTACCTTCTGGATGTCATAGTGAAGGCCCCGAACAGCAAAGTTAGAAAGGTAGTCGTACTTGCGAATGCCCTCGGGGTACTGTCAAACAGGACAACCAGCAGGTTAAATAAGCCTGTGTTTAAAAATCAGTTTCAAAGCAAACACGTTTGACACAACTGATGCAAAGCACACCTTGAAGTGTTCAATTAGGAATTCTCTGGCTTTGTTGTAGATCATTGCGTTGAGCGCATTGGAATACTGCGCCAGAGTGTAGTCATAATCGAAGCCATAGATGTCCACTTCAGCCAAGTCGACCTCGTTGTTCGCGTAAATGGTGGAGGAGTTGAGGAGGTTGCACGCACCCGGCGGGATCAGGTCTGGTGCAGGAAAGACAAACGGGGAAAGACTCATTTAAATTTGAGAATCACAGATCAAATTAACCAAACAACAATGAATAAGCAAGATTTAAGAGCGCGATATGACGGCTCATTACAGCTGACTCATGTTTTAATTAAAAGGGAATGTGTAAACGACCCTTTCTGTAATGAAACTTGATGATTGTGCGCTTCTGCAGAGGAGAAAGAAGTAACTGCTGTTTTCGGTCCAGTTTAGCTGGCAAGCTCACGAGGTTGTGCAACGTGCATTTCTAAGACTAGCCCTTTACTTGACTGAGCTCAGGCCGTCCCAAAAGCACATTTTGTACAATTATACCTTCTACCAACTTAACCTGGAAAACATAACGGGCAGCACAGCATTCACTGCGCCTTTGAAAATATTCCCATATTTTATCTGCACACTATCTCGAGTACGGTCACACAGCTAACACATGCGCACAGATTAAACACACAGTTTACATTTTGTTGCAGAGACGGACTCCAGCGCTGGCTGCAGCAGGAGCACAGGACTGAGTCACACACGACCTAAAAGTGGGGCATGGCCCCTCTGTAGTGACAGAGTTCAATGAGGGCTGCTGCTGGGAGCAGACAAAATACCTTTCTTTCTATGCCGAGTCACATTTCAAAAGACTGCATCTGACAAATTGCATTTCCAATTGAGAATGCGTGACCAGCTTTAATTAAAACCCACCATGTGGAGAACAAAAAAATGTGGTTTAAACAGAGTATGTTAGAAAAAACTTATATATACACACACATGTATATAAAAAGGCTCCTGGTCTTAAACACTTTTGAGTGTTTTCATTTTACACTACTTCATGTTTCTATTCCAGAACACTTCAGAGGGAGATGCTGTGTTTTGTTATTACACTACAGTTATTTGGCAGCTATACTTACTTTGTAAATCAAGATAACATTTGCAGTTAAATCGTGACGCATATTTATAGAATAAACACTCGAGAAATATAGAAAAGTACTTTAAATAAACCAAACTGTGCCCACACGCAGCATTACATTGCTGTTTACATCGCTATAACAAGGCTGCATAAGAGTTCCTTTACTTTTAATACTTTATTTTGCTCATGTACTCTCCCTTCAAATGCACAGCTTCCAGGTTTGCTGCAGACTGACAGTTATTCTGATTATTATTATTATGTTCTGCACATGCAAAGCAGGGCTGGCCCATGTGAACTAAATAAACAAAAACCAAAAAGCAATAATATGGAGCTAACGTGCATGTCAGTGCATTTGATAACATCACAACAACTTGTACCGACCCTAAATCCCCAAGTTCCTTTTCTCTTTTTCTTTCTTTTTTTTCCATAAAGTATTTTTCCATGCCTCATTTGCAGGGACCTGTTTAAACGCCCACTTGTGCCTCCTGCATGCCAAAAACCGCTAATATAAATAGGACATAGATCATTTACAGAATGCATCCGATGACATACAATCAAGCTAAGAATTGTGGTTAACCGGCCCTAACCTTAAATAATGGTGAGTGCACATTTGGCTGGATAGCGGGATGCTTAGCGCAAACACATGTTTCAGAAGGACACGCAAACGCACAGTGTACGTGCAGCGTTCATCAACAGCCGCTCGAGTTGTTTTCAAGAACAAATCTTGCCAAACAGAGGAACTGACGCGTGAGCACAAATGCATCTTAAACAGGTTGCTGTGCAAAACTTTCTCCTGCATGCGTGTTACACATGGCATTAATGTGCCATCTGTGGCTAAATTGGAAAGAGGATGAACGAAATCCCTTAAAGAACAAAATGTCTTCGGCGTCAACAGAGAACCATAGCGGCTGCCACGGTGACGTGCGGGATAACCGCGATATGGGGGGCCCAAGTTAGGACAAAAAAAAAGGAGGGGTGGTGGGCTCTGCTTACCGTGAACCAGCCGTTTCATGTCATTGTAGCGAGTCCACAGGTACGAGATCTGATCCATTGGAGCTGCGGTGGACGTGAAAGAGCGTCTCCTCACACCACAGACACCAGGAGCACCCAGCGGCTCCTTGGCTCGCTTCTTGTCCCCAGCCGTGCATCTGTGAAGTGGATCGCTGGGTGACGGAGCGTCGCCAGTTGGTCTGTCCGAATCTGAGCCGCAACTTTCCTCTTTTGTCCCGTCGCGGCCCTGCTTTTTTCCTCCAGAGATCCTGCATGTGGTACAAAGTCTGTTCACTCTGGGGGATCTGGCCAGAGGAGGGGTCTTGTTTCCTCTTGCCCATAATGTACGTGTTAATGTGCCCACTGTTTTAAAAGACATTTTTACGACGCGTTATAATTACCATTCCTAAAAACCTCTGCCAGCTTGCCACTGGAAGCTGAAGCTAGCAAACAGATAAACATATACCCTCGTTTTCACTGTGGCCACGCCCCGGGGCGAGAGGCCCTCCATTTAAAGGGGAGGTACTCCGATTCCTGCAGCCAATCAGAAGCGCGGAACTCTCTGTATCTGTGATCAAATTCACATGAGAAAACATGTCGTCAGCGTGACTTCTGTGTGTTTTCTTTAAGTTGCAGTCACATCTTGTTCTTTCGTTTGTGCTTTGCATATATGAGGTAAATGGGTGTTCTGCCACATCCTCCCTGAGAGCTGGGTATTGTTTTTGGACAGTGTGCATTTTAAACTAAACGAGGTTTTGTTGTCTTGGCGGAAATTTTTACAAAAAAACAACTAAGTAAAAACCCTGCAGGACAACGTTTTTCCGCACAAGCGTGCAGCTCTATGAGTATTTGGTGTATTTTAGTTTCGTGGTGTGCGGGGATATGCGTCAATTGCATGTGCAAATGCCTCATTTATGCTCTTCGAGGGAAGAAAATGTGAGAAACTTTAGTAAAACAAACACAAAAAAATTGCAATACATAGTATTGGATAAATGCGGCATTTATATGTTTTCTTGAAGTTTCCCCCGGACAGTCAACTGCAAAAACAAAATGCATATTTGATTTTTAAAATGCAAACTTTCTCTTCAAAACCAGAGCATTATAACTAATTTTTTCCAAAGTCTTACATTTTAAAGAAACTTGCAACTGAAGCAATAGGATAAACATGGATACGTGTGAATATTTCCTTCTGTTCTGTTCTAGAGTTCACAGAGACTTTTAGTGGAGCACAAAAAAGGAAAAAAAAAAAGAGGGGGAGGCCCCTCTTGTGCTTGGACTATGATGAGTCACTCTTGGACAAGTATACAGAGGCCTGCTGTAGCTTCTGTAAAGAGTGCTGTAGACCAAAAGGCACAAACGTGAGTTAAACAGTGATGCAGAGCTGATGCAGATGGTTCAGAGCTAAGCCGGAAAAGAAAAAAGAAAAAAGGTTGGTGAGGAGCCTTAAGGAAAATTACAGGTTTAGCGAGATAGCGAGAGAGGTTTAGTGAATGTAGATGACAGCTTCTGTCATCAACTTCAAACATAAAGACCTCAAGTCCACTGACAACTTGCTAAATGATCTTAATGTGTTCTGTTATTAGTTTGAAAAACTAAAAAGGCAGTCTTGGCACCACCCTCTGTGACACCCACCATTCTCTCAAGCCCGGCTGCCGTTAATCTGCGCAACTCAGAGGCCCTTCCTCCCCTATCACAATAAAGACTTTCTTCATTCTTATGAGTGACAAGAGCCAGTTCAAAAGGTTAGAACCCCTGTAAATACCATAAAGAGACAAGCAGTCTCTGCCTCCAGCTTATGTTGACCTGAACACTACGGTGTAGAGAGTCATGTGCAATACCTCACCAGCGCAAGGCCTCTACTATCAACCCCAATCCCCAAAAAACAAAGATCACAAGACTACACCCTGACATCTGGATCAGGGTGTAACTGGAGACCTGCATATCCTTGGCTGTGTTGAGAAGGTGATAGGCTGCAATCTGCCACCGCTGCTTGACCTGTGAGCGCCCAGGACCCCGAGGCAAACAGGAAGGATTGCTGTTTTCCACTCCCACCTTAACATACACTTTCTAAAGACTTCTGCATTCCATCCAGATAAAAACGCCACACTGTTCACACATAAGCTGATTTTCTGTGCTTATTACTTTTTACTTTAATGCAAAATGGTAACTGAACACCACAAAAACCAGAACGCAACCCAAAAAACAGTTCATGTGTGGTTTAAAGACACTGTTGTTCCAAAACCAGAGGAATTTCAAAAAAGGGCCACAAAAATGACGAGAAGCAAAAGCCATTTTGACAACAAGAGAAATCTTGGGAAGCACTTGGATTAAGCAAGTGCAGAAAGTGACAGGATTAAATTTGCGTTCTCTCATTCCTCTATTACATAACCTCTGTGTGTGAGCTTAAGTACTGACATCCTGGACCCTGTTTATCATTTAATCTCTATATTTATTTGTCTTATTTCTCTCTCAGAACACATGCGCTACTTGCTTTCCTGTATAGATTTTCTATATAAACAGCCTCTTTATTTGTCCTAACTTCTCACACAGAGTTCTGGAAACTTGTTCTGTGGGTGGGCCTTGAATACACACTCCAGTTGAAAATACTGGAAAGTCTGCTGCCAAATATGCATCTCCATCCTTGAGGAAATCATCTGTAAGAGATTAGGAAACTTAATTGTCTGTTGTTTCTAATTAGTTCTGATGAGTTCTAGATTTAAATCTGACTTACATAACTACAGGACTACAGGTTATTCGAGTCCAAGATACATATAGTTAACTAAAACTAACTTGAGGAGAAGAAACAACATTGTATACTTACAAAACTAATCAAAATATAATGGAAGCATAAATGGAAAATGTGTTTAGGTTTTGTCTTTTTCAGTTTGGTCAAATTTGTCAATATGACAAATATATTTGTGCTGTAATTTCTCTTCAGAGCCTCTTAAATCTTACCCTATATATTATGATCCCCCCCCCACACACACACTTACTTATCTACGTACTTTACAGTCTAAGGGGCGCTGGAGCCTATTGTAGATCTCACAGGGTGAGAGGAAGGGTAGGCACAGAGTGAACAAATCGCCAGTCTGTTGCAGGGCTAACACAGAAAGGCAATCATTTACACCTACTGAAGAATCACCAATTAATCTAACATGCATGTCCTCATGTCTGTGGAGAAATCCTGAGTACCTGAAGGAATGGGCTCTCTCCAGGTGCAGGTACACGGAGAACACGCAAACTCATGAAGGTACCTCATATATGCAAAGCTTGCCGATGGATTGAAACTCACGGCTTTCTCTCTGTGAGGAAACCGTGCAAACCACTAGATAATCAAACCTATAGAAAAATAGCTACAATAGCTGTGGGTGAGATATATTAAGTTAAATGTGTACATTTTAATTCTTTGCTTTAGTTTTAATATAATTTATGTACTATTGTGTTTTTTAATTGCTCTTTTCTTGAAGATGGCTTTTACTCTAATATCTTGCTATTTTTATTAGTTTGTGTTTTCATGAAGTTGGTGTGTTTGTACTGTGGAGTTTCTGAACAAGCTGCAGAAAAAATCTGCACAAAAGAATCATGTCCAGACCAATCCCACCACCCCCTCCTTTCTAGTCAAACTAGCCTGAAGAGCTTTGTGACTCTATGACCAAACTTTATTGCGCAGCATGCTGCATTATTCAGCTGTCTAGGCTTAGATTTTCAAATGAGAACTTACTGGGAATACCACCTACAAAACCACAAAAATTAACCACAAACCAGTATCCTGCTGTATTTACAATGTAATAAACTGACAGGATATACGTGCATGCAGGCATGTGAAAAAGAACACTTTTACAAGACTATGGAAAGTCCTGTGAAAAGCTCTGTGGGGCATGCTCCTGTTTCCATAGGAATTGAAAGACTTGAATTGAAAGAAAGAAAGAAAACCCCCAAGAGCGACAGCTTTGACCCCACAGAGTGTTAGCAACGACTTACTGCATGACAGCTTAATTAGGGAAAGACTGAACAGGTATGACTTGTTTGGAAGGACTGCCAAAAGAATGCATCTTCTCTCTAATTAGAACAAAGCAGTATGGGTTAGGTTTGTAAAGTTACATCTGAAAAAAACAAGACTTTTGGAGCAATCTACTGTAGATGGACACCAAAATGGAGACATCTGCCCACAATGCCCAGCATCACATATCAGCACAAACATCTCATACCATGACATGGTAGTGTCAATTTACAATTCAACTACAAACTATTGAATTATGGGGTGTACTCCTTTTCCCCATAAGTGTAGTATAAGAAAAATACCAAAGTCACTCACTCAAAACCACGAGCACTATACGGTGTTGGCTTGTTTTTATTCTTCATGACAAAAGTGGATAGAAGGTCAATGAAAGGTCAACTTTGCATACACATAAAAAGTTGAGGACCTCAAATGTGTTATGTGGAGTGTGTGCTTGTCAACAATTTACACAGAATGCAGACCACATAAATACAGTTAAAATATTATACAAGAGTGGCAATTAAATTATACACACATCTGCACAGAGTGACTTAAATCAATGTACAACCTTCAGTGTGAAAATGACATTATGTTAAAGTATTTTCACTTTTTAGCCAGAGTGTGTGGACTTAACTTCAATAAATAAATGGAGGAGCTACCCCGGCAGTCTACAATCTTTGATACATTAGGTCCAAATGTATTCAGAATATTAAAAGAAAGTTCAGTAGTTGTAACAGTTGTCTAAAATATCAATCAGCTAATTTTGATTCATTTAAGTTATTACTTAATCCTTAATGAGGTAACATGATTAATAAATACAAGGCATGCCAGCTAAAAAGTGAAAATATTTTACCAAAATGAGATATCACTTTTTTCAGTGCCAACACTGCTCAGTGAGTTTATTTAAAATAATTAAAACATTAAAAAAAAATACAACTACAGTGTTGAACTTTAGCCTCTATTTAGAAAATGTGATACTTTCTGAAACAGCAGACAAGACCAAAATCAAGGCACAAAAAACCAAAAGAAAACACCAGCTAACCAAAAATAAAACCTCATCAGCAGGATGCAGCTTCTTCTAGTAAAGAGGAAAGTTGAGTTTTAGTAAGTGTCAACATTTTCTAGTATTAATTTCTCCGTTTTCAAACAGCTTTTCCCAAATGCAATTGAAAGGACCACGATTGGTCGTGTTAAGTCAGTTTAATACATTGTAAGTTGCCTTCAGTGAAAAAAAGGTGAGGTTACAGTGCCAATGTCAACCTGTGCAATGCTGTCTTCAAGTCAAAGTCCATACATCATACTGCTCTTTAAGCAGTCCCTTTAGAGGTATCAAGTGACACATGTACATTTACATGCTATTCTTCATTGCAAACCTTTAGCAAAGCAGTGTCATGTCTGAGTTCCCACACACTTTAAATGAAGCAGCTTTTTCAGATTTTATTCTTGATTCTAAGCCATAATGTGCAAATAGATGCAAACTT